GTTTGATTAGTATTTATACTGTTGATCAAAACCTTTCTGCCTCCAAATCTATTTTGTCATCTAAGTCAGGTGTGAAATGTTTCATTCCATATCTTGGAGACCAGCAGAGTTCAATCATAATTTTTATTATGCATAAGAACCATTAAAAGGATTCACCTGTACTCTTTTTTGACCTTCTTATCTAAAATCATAACACTGTTCTTAGCTTTTCCTGCCCTCGAAACAAAATATGAAATAACAAAGAAGGAAAAAAGTGCAGAGACTACTATACATGTTAAATACCAAATATAAGTTTATGCTTTCATTATTTAGTTGTCTGATGTAGTGATTTTCAAACTGTTATCATAGCTCACAAAATAATTCTTCATTTTGCCTCTATGTATTTCTGCAACATCATCACATGCTAGATTTTTCCCCGTTCATCATGGGATGCAGTACTTCATTAGCTTCCCTGAGAGCGAGCAGTACTTCATTCCCTTGATCTCAGGGTCCTCACACAGGCCTTTCTCTTTTCCAAGTACTGTTATTAATCCATATTCTTCAGTTATGTTCTAATCTTTCAGATCCCATCTTAAATGCAGTCTATGTCAAAGGACTTTAATATTTATTCTATCACCCACTCATTGTTCCCTGTGTTCATTTTTAATAGTGCTTGTCACAACTTGTCAATATGGATTTACTTTTTGTCAGTAAAAATCTCCCTCATCTGACAGTAAATGAAAAAAAAAAAAAAAAAAGTAGAGCCCAGATTTATTTACCAAGTTTAACTTACACTTAGCTTTTAGTACATTGCCTGGAACTACTGTAGGCGCTCATTAATTATTTTGAAAGTTTTTTTTCCAAGAACATTATTTTCCTTAAGTCATGCTTAGAATTTTATTTTGTTTTTATGATTACAGCCAAGAAGTTTCACCTAGCTTACTTCTATAACTCTGCTTGTGTGGAAAGAAGGCAGAATTTTCTAGTCTTCTGTAAACTCAGATTTACATGTTTTTGCATACTATCAACATAGAGTTCACATTCCAAATTTAACGTCATTGTAAAAAGAACCAAACTTGAGCTTTCAAAATCTTATCTAGTTCCAAATATCACAAAATTTGTAAGTGGCTTTTTCTTTTCTTTTGTCTGCTTGGTTTAAATCATCAATCTGGATAAAAAAGAGATTTAAAACGATATTCTAAAAACTACGTATTTTAAAAAGAGCTTAATGTTAAAATTCTGATAATTGCTTTATTTAAAAGTTCAACAATTATTAAAGGGAAATATTTACTTGTTATTTAACTATATTTTTATTGCTTATTAAATAGCTCATTCTGATTTCTATGCAAGGACAAGTCTACCACTTTCATAGCAAGATCTTTGCCCATTTTAATGAATAATCATACATTAGTCAAAGACTATTTGATATATTAATGATCACATGGTACCACATACCAAAATCTCAAGCACAACGATCCAAGAAGAATAGTCTTAAAGCAAACCAAGAATAGTAGTTAATCATAAAATGCTTTTTCTATAATATTTAGGATTCTTATGATTAAGAGCCATAACTTGAAATTAAATTAACTTTTTAAAAATATATACATTTTTATATATCAGGAAAGTCCAGTGGTATATTTGGATTCAGATGACAATAGAAATCTTGTCATCAATGATATTCTTTGCTTTTTCCTGGCACTGTCTTTTTCTATGTAGGTCTCAGTCTCAGGTAGACTCAATGCAGGTAAGAAAACCAGCAGAAACTCTGCATGTAAATGTATTAGTTTAACCCAAAGAAAATAAAAGCCACCCTTCCCAGCAGTTTTAAGAGTTACCCTGAGTATACCAACTTGAATAACTTGCCAATTCTTGAACCAAACAGTGTCCACACCTGAGTCTCACTGCTATCACTGGAGCTAAGTTTCAGCCCCACCAAAACATGGACTGTGAAAGGAATGTGGCTTCCCAAAGGAAAATGAAGGGCTTTTACTAGAAGCAAGGGCCCAGGAGGCAAAAACACTAATGGTCAACACGCTTATTCATTATCAATGAAGCCACAACTTGTTTCTAGTGAAAATGTGTTTATTCATATGAAATCCTATGTGTACACTCCATTATTGCAGTTTATAGTTTGGGGATTATTTTTGTGTCAACTATGTCTTATACCCTATCCTTGTGTCATTAAGGCTATAATTTGAATGTTTATGTTCCACTTATGTATAATTCAATATTCTTTACCTTTTTCATTTTATATAAAGCTATATTTCTCATTTTCTAAGAACTAGAAAAGGGAAATTGAAGAGAAAAGTAAATTGCAGCCAGAAATTAAAAGGGAACAGAAAGAGCAAATCAGATTGTTTTGTTTTGTTTTGTTTTTGAGTGGGGGAAGGTAGGAGATGGCAGGGAACATTTGGAAGATGAGCATGTTGAAACACTGAGGGGAAGGGATTATGGCAGGGTAAGATTAGACTTCCTGAAAAGAACCATAATGCATCGTGGAAAAGAAATATATTAATATAAACAATAGCTCAGTGTTTCTTACCATTTAGATATCACATTTAAATCAACAATTAAAAGCCATAGATTTAATTTTACTCTCATCTGAAATTTGTAAGCAACACTTTGCCTTTTCCCGTGTAAATCAATCATTCCTCCATGCTCTTTTGGGCAGATTTAGGCAGATTTCCCCCCCTAGATTAAGGGGGAATAAGGGAATAAGTTTCATATACTTCCAACTCATAGATACTGGTCACTGGTCACATAGTCATTGAGCTGTAATTGAATTAAATTCCCACTATAATTTAGCTGCAAAATCAGCATCTAGAGCTCTTCTTAGTATCGTATAATATACTTCAAGAAGGGCTACTTACTGCATAGTATCATTGAGGTTTAATAAATGTCTTGAGTCTTCAGGGTCTTACATGGAAGGCATCATTATTGTTTGGCTGTTCAGAGTCAGTGTCTCAGCTCCCTTTTCTAATTTTGGATCACCAATTATTTCTTCCAAATATTTTTGTTAGCATATGTGTAAACAAAGTTATGTTGATTCCTAGCCTACTATTTTATTATTTAGTACTAAGAGAGTGAAAAACAGTATAAAACTATTTAACCTAAACATAGAATTCATTTTTGCCTTACTTGTTAAACTTTCTACCCATAATAGTTTCTGTGTAGGTAGTTGTGGTCCCTCAATATGTTAGCTTATCTGTGATTGACTGGCTCTGTGGTTTGGGGGTGATTCTGTCTCCTATGCTTTCCAGTACTGTTTGGTATTTATAGCACCTCCCAGGTGGGTGCCTTTCTCAATTTAATTATCATCTGGCTTATCCTCCCTTCCAGAATCATTTATGAAAATGTTAAATAAGACCAGCCATAATACCTATATCCCTGAAGCTCACTCCTTAATGTCTCTTCTTAGCTTGATGCATTGCCATTTATCATTAAATTCCTTTAGCCAATTTATGTCCCAGGAAGAATGTTAATATTGAATCCAATTTGAGCTAAATTTTAATTAAGAATTCCTGAGAGATTTTGTTTAAATGATTTACTATAATCAAATTGATATCTCCTCTGCTACCCCTATCCTCTAATTTTCTAATTTTATCCGCACACAAGAGAGAATTAGTTTGTCTGGCTTGAATACTTCTCCATAAATATACATCATTCATTTTGACTGTTTCTGCAAATAGTTTTCTTCTCCTTTGCCTTTAGGAGTATGCCTGTCATGCTCATATAAGTCCCAGAATCATTTCATGAAATGCCTTTCCTTCTGGCAACCACATCTGTCCACCCTCAAATACCCAATCTCAGGACTTAGCTGCATCAATGCCAGTCTCTCAATTTTCTTTTTTTCTTCTCAATTATTTCTGCTGCTGCTATTTCCGTGCACATTATCACTCTAAATGTAGCCTATAATAAAAGTAGAAATAGAATATGCGTAATATAAGTCCTTGAGCATGATAGGATGTATAAAGTTCTTTGTTTACATTTCTTGGGGCCACTTCTCTGTCTTTCATCCATCACTTTTGGAATGATAAAAACAGAAATTACTGTGAATGCATATACTATAAAATTTCCTACTAGAATCTATTTTTATTTTTCTTCCCCTTTAAGTAAATTTATATTTATCAGGAAGTCAAGGAGAATTCTTTAATATAACAAATCACTATTACCTTAATGCTGCTTTATGAAATTAATGAATCGTTCTCTTTTCACATATAATAATTCATATATAGTCTTTATTAGATACTAGGTGCTTCAAAAAGATTATAAATATGTGTAAATTAGCTTTACAGGTATTAATGCAATATAATTTCAAGGGTTCTGAATAGATTCCCTTTCCTCAAAAGAAAAAAAACAACAACAATTCTTGGGCTACATTAAATATTCAACAGTTAGAGATGTATTCATTTGATTTTGAAAGGGTAATACTCTAGGCCTTATCCGTCCTTTATAAGTCAGTGTGAACAAGATAGGAACCTTTCTTAGAGAAAGTGTAAATAAAGAAGACAAAAAGACAGGAAAGTCTCTGGGAGACAGGAAGGAGAACATTATTAATGAAAAAAATGAAAGCAAAAGAAAGGATGAGAGTAATAAAGAGAAACTTCTATTTCATTTTTTCCAGATCTCAGTCTGTAATAATATGAATTTATGTGTCAAGAACACTAGGTAAGATAGGGGAAAAAAATTAAATTTCCTATAGGGATATTAGATTTTTTGTTATGGTTTTCCTTTTATTTTCCTCTATTAAATTAAAATAAAGATAGACTTCAAGATCCAAATTTTTTTTTCCTTATCACTCTCACAAGAAAAGAAAAGGAAACATCCTTCTTGCTGTGAATGCTTCATTATCATAACAACACAGTAGCCTCAATTCAGGAAAACAAGGGTATATATGTCAAGACAACTTTCTTTACTTATGTTTTATCTTTGAAAGCTAGCTCCTTTTGTTGGGGGAAATAACAACGTGATGGTGAAAAGTTGAGTCCCAAGAGGATTTATGTTGTGATTTTCAATTCCAGCTCACTGCAGTCGACGCAGACGAAGGGTCAAATGGGGAGATCACATATGAAATCCTGGTTGGGGCTCAGGGAGACTTCATCATCAATAAAACAACAGGGCTTATCACCATCGCTCCGGGGGTGGAATTGATAGTCGGGCGGACTTACGCGCTCACAGTCCAAGCAGCGGATAATGCTCCTCCTGCAGAGAGAAGGTAATTTATGTTAGAACCAGTGCGGTCTTTTCATCACTCCCATTTAATCCCGTAATTAAATTTAAGAAGAGCAGCAAGCATTCTTTTATCCTATAAACATCTAAATTAGATCAGAAAATCAGAGAGACCAGATTTGCAGGAACTGCATATTTTGATTTGGTTAAATAGTGGGAAAAGGACAATACAGACAAGATTAAACCACAAAATAATTAACTATGATTTCACAGATGCAGAAGGATGCAGGTCTCTATTTTAGTGGGGGAACTGGGAAATATCAGAGGCATGTTTCCAATTTATTAGTGAAAAACAAGACTTCAGACAGAGAAAGGCTCTTTTCTTCAAAGAAATTCACAAAAGTTATCAGTGGCATGTAATGTCCCAGGGTTTTAAAGCCACCTCTCAGTGTATGGCTAATTATAAAATATATAGGTAAAATAATATACATGTAGCATATGCATACATACATACACGCATGTTTATATGTACATACCCATAAAAAGAGAAAAAGAGAGAGAGAAAGTTCAAAGACTCCCTATTTTGTTGTTGTTGAGACTGGGTCTCACTCTGTGGTCACAACTAGAGTGCAGTGGCCTCATTGTAGCTCACTGCAACCTCAAATTTCTAGGCTTAAGCGATCCTCCTGCCGCAGCCTTCTGAGCAGCTGAGATTACAGGTGTGCACCACCACACCTGGCTAATTTTTTTCTATTTTTAGTAGCAACAGAGTCTTGCTCTTGCTCAGGCTGATCTTGAGCTTCTGCGCTCAAGCAATCCTCCTGCTTTGGCCTCCCTGAGTGCTAGGATGACAGGCATGAGTCACTGCACCCAGACAGGCTTCCTACTATTATAATTTCATCTCTCTAAGCTTCTGCTTGAAATATCCCTTTTATTAATTTATTGTTTATTTCCAGACTGTCAGTGTATATTTCAAGAAAATATGAATGATATAAATACAAGCACTTTGCTGTTTTTGTTGCCCTTCACAATATGTCTTGGTGTTCTTTCCATATGAATACTGGATAACTTCCTCAAGTCTTATTTACAGCTATATATTACGCTGTGGAAGAAGTCCATTATTGATGAACTTTTAAATTTCAATCTTTTTCTTTTAATAACAATGGAGATATAACATAGACCATGCATCACTTTAAATGTATACAATATCAATAGAGTAAATTAGCCGAAGTGAGATTAAAAAGTATATGCAACTTTAAGTTGTATAGATCACTACCAAATTGCCTTCTATAAAGCTTATAACAATTTGTAATTCCAACTGCAAAGTCTGAGAATGGAAAATTCTACACAATATCCCCATGCATGTGTGATATCAAACATTTGGATTTTTTGCCAATCTGATAGGTAAGAAATAGTATCTAATTTTTATCCATTTGATTTTGAGTAAGTTTAGTATATTTCCTATGTTTAAGAGCCAAATTCTATTACTTTTTCTGTGAAGTCGGTTTTCATAATTTTTACTCATAGTATGTTAAACTCAGATTATAATTATTCTACATTTTCTGTTAGAGCTTTTATAGACCCATACTGTATATTTAAACCTTTGTTGCATTTGGGATTTATCCTAGTGTACAGTAGGAGATATTAATGCAACCACATTTTTCTCAAATACCTTGCGTTCCCCACACAAATTATTGGATAATTCATCTTTTCCTCACTAATTGAGGTGCTACATTTATTCTATCATATTTTATGTATTTATATGTTGTTCTAGAGTTTCTATTCAATTCCATTATTTACTTATCTTTTTATGAGCTATTATCATACAATTTTAATTGTTAAAGTTGCATACTATGCTATATCCTCTGGTGGTATCAACTTACCTTAATGCTTTTCCCTCCAAAATTTTCCTGGATACTTCTTCTGTTAATTTTTCTCTTTGACTTTAAATGAGCTAGTTCAGTGAGTTTTTTGTTGTTTTTTTAATCTATATTTTTTATTAGCAATACATTTAATTTACAAATTAATTACTTAGGATTATATAATACACTTTGATCTTAAATCTTTCCGTCCAAGAATTTTTTGAATCTTAATTTATACATGCTTTCTTTTGTGTCCTTTAGTTGTTTTTTTGGTTGTTTTTTTTTTTTAATTTTATTTACACAAGTTCTGTACATTTTTTTCTTGGTCTCTTTCAATATCTTTTGTTTTTATTAATTAGATTCCTTTCTTCCTTATATCTTTGAATGGGCTGGTGTTTGCATAAATAAAAGGTATTAATCTCTTTAGATTAATTTTTAACTCACTTTCTTATTTAATTCTGTTATGTTTTTGTAATTTCCAGTTGATTCTCCTATATTATTCAAAAATATGTTTTAAAAATAGTGATAATTTTATATTTTTGTTTTCATTTACTTTCTTTTCTTTAACTTCCAGTAAAGATGTTTGTCTTGCTTTTGACTTGAATGAGAGTGCCTCCATTTTTATCCGTTAGATTGTTTTATCGTTTTAAAAACTAATATATTATTATGTTAAGAAAGTATTCATCTATTCCTTTTATATTGGCTTTAAAAATAAGAATGGTGGCTTTTTCAGGTCAAATAAATATTATTATATAAAGGTAGTAATGACTTTTCTTCTTGAGCTAATGTTATGATTATTGATCTAATACAGTTTCTAAAATAAATTTATTTTGCATTACTGATATAAATCCCACTATGCCATGATGTTTTACTCTTGAAATAAACTGCTGAAATATGTCTATTGACATTTTATTTAATGAAATTATTGTGTATTTTTCTTTTTGAGAAATCTTATCAAGATTTTATATAGTTGTCATAAAACTTCATAAGAGAAACAAACAAAAACCACAAGTTTTATCCATTTTATCAAGAAAAAAAAGGAAGAAAATACAGACTGATATAATAAATTCTAAGGGGGAAATAACTTAGACATAGAAGAAATTAAAAAAAATATATCAGGGACAACTTTGCTTTAATATGCACAATTTGAAAACATGAATGGATATTTTAAAAATACAGTTTACGAAAACTGATCCCCCAAAGCTAGAAAATCTTAAGAGACTAATCCCACAGAGGAAATATAGAAAGTTCTCAAAGGACTCAAAACTACACCAGGTCCAGGCAGCTTGACAGGATAATTGTAACTAAACCTTAGAGAGAAGATCATTCGCATGTTTATAAATCTCTCCCAAAAGGCCACTGTTTTCCTGGTAGCATACCCACATGGGACAGTTTTCTCTCTTCACAACTCTTACCATTAATCATAGAAATATGGTGAGTGAATTCCTAGTTTCTCATTGATAATTCTAGACTATTTTCCCTCCTCCTCCTTAATAGGAGATCTTCCTTTCAATCTCAGGTTTGAACAAAATGTAATACCCATTACTTACCTTGCTGTACAGATGACAGGTCCCTCCTGTGTTATCTCCTCTTCTTTCTAACCTCACACCCTATTGCCATCTACAGATCGGCAGGTCACATTTGGAAGAGTTTAGTTCCTACCTGCCTGAAATTTACTTCGATAGTACTCCTGTCAAAGTTCTTGTTAACTTCATATCCAATATGCAGTTTAAGTCATCTCCGATCTTGCAGCCGCTCTGACCAAACACCCTTACTTCCATCCTCAATGTCCCTCTTTCTGTCAAACTTCAAACTTAACCTTGAGCAACTCCTCTGTGGACTACCTTCAAAATGGATTCAGAAAACAACTGCTCCTGACACTTTGGTTATTAATATTTCAGTCCAAGCTACTGTACTTTCTAGTCCAGTGTGTTGAAAACATTTTCTAATTGGACTTGTGTCTGTGTCCCCTTCAATCTTTTCTCAACACAGTAGCCAAAGTGAACACCTCATTCCTTTACTTGAGCTCTCCAGGGCTTTCATAAGTCACTCTGGTAAAAGGAAGACTCATTAAAAAAGCCAGTGGGGCCCAGAGTGGTTTGCTGGCTGTCACCTGACATAGGACACTCCCTCTTGTCACCAATTCATATTAACCTCATCTCCTACTCGACTTGGCTTCCTTTACTCCAGCCTAGTCACTGCACCAGTCTCCTCTCTGTCTTTGAGGATCACAGCTACATTCAAACTTTTGAAATTGGTTTTCATCTCCTCTGAGACTGGACAGCTATTTCCTCAGATTTCTCTAAGGCCACATTTCTTTCATATGCCTGTAATAGTAAAATCTTCCTTCAGTTCAACAAACTATTTATTATATAACTATCATTTTTCACATTTTAGAATACAAAGATAAACATAGTACTGTTATTTGCAGGAAAAAAACATACAATAGAAAACAGAAAGAAGAGTATAAATAATTGAATTCAGTTTAACATGATAATTTTGAATTAAGGTAAATTCTGGGCTTTCTGGGACAACGATGAGGGTACTTATAGTGAGGGAGTACTAAGAAATCCTCCTATTACACAATAAGTTTAGTAGAATGAGTGGTGGCTAACCAGCTGACAAAAATATGTGGCATTATTTTCATAGCCTCAGAGATCAGAAAGAGCTTGGTGTTTAGGGATAATTACAAGTCAGTCAGTGTTACTAGTGCATAAACAGATTAAATGAGGGGGTGGAAATTTAAAGGCTATTTCACAGAAAATTTAATCTGTTTTGTTACAAGGCTTGGACTTATCCAATCAATGAAAGGAATTCTGGGAGGACTTTAAATTAGAAAGTCATCTGAGAAAATATCAATTTTGGGGAAAACACTCTGATTTCCCTATGGAAAACATTTCAGTGGGACAAAGCTAAAGACAGAGAAATCAGGTAGAACACCACCACTGGAAGAGTCTAGGGGGAATGCTGCTGATGGCTTGAACTGGGTATGTATGTTAAGAAGAATGGATAGATGGAATTGTCAAGAAAATATCTCCCAGGATTTTGTCTAAGGTGACTTGGTAGCAATGATGTCCAGATGGTGTGTGTGACTTGGGTGAGTAGATGAGTTTAATTTTAGACATATTTTATTGGATGTGGTCATAATTAACATGCCCAGAAAGCCAATCGATGTACAATTGGC